TTTTCTGTTTTTGTTTTTTGTTTTTTTTTTTTTTTTTTTTTTTTTTTTTTGCTACCACAAATGACAATTTGTTTTGAATTTATTATTGTATTTCAATATTAAATAAATTTAATTAGCATCCATTTCAAATTATCCAAGCGTTTGCACAATGAAACTGTATCGAAGAGAGGTATCCAAAATTCTGCGAATGTTGAAGATGTTGTTTATCACTTTTTGATGAACACAATAAACTTGTTTGATAAGAAAGATAATAACAAAAAATATTGCAGCATATATTATATATATATTCAATTATTTTCTGGCACTTCATTTGGGAATTGAATAAAATTCGGAATATTTTTAATATTTTTTCTATTGCATTTGGAAATTTAATTGAAAAATATATAATTTTTGCATTTAATGTAACTGTATTTTTTTTTTTTTCTGTATTTTATATTTAATTTTATTCAATTGTATTGAAATTGCATCCATAGCACTATATGTGCTTGGGTATTTAAGTTAAAAAAATATAATTTTTTTATTTTAGTTTTCCCCTCTAAAATATAATTTTTATTATTTTTTTATTTTATTATTATTTATTTATTTTTCATTTTTTTTATTTTTTAATTATTCATTTTTTTTTTTTTTTTTTTTTTTTTTTTTTTTTTGAAAAATTGCACTTGGACTTGTGTTTCCATCATCAAATCATGGCAACTACTACAGACGCAACAGTTACCCTTTTCTATGTCATCTGTGACACGATTGTTTGTTTCATCCCCCCCACTTTTGTTGGATTCATACAAAACAGGGATACTTTTGTGTTTCAACGGCTGGCACGGCTGTTGATACACCTTTTGTATTTCAATTGGTGTTATTGTTGTAACAATAACATTTAAATAATAACAGTAGTTAAGCAATAGCTGGGTACTTATTTCACCTACATTTATTTTTTTGCATTCGCATCTGCAAAGCTATTTGATATTTTGTTGTTGTTTTTTATTTCTTTCCCTTCTTTTTTTGTAACAAAAATATTACTTCAATTTAAAACACTTGTGTTAAACGTTATCCATTGCTTTTTCTTCCTCTTTACATTTTTCACTCCCACACACTCACTCACGCGCGATTTTTCTTTAGTGTTTTCTTTTTGTTTGCGCCGCAAAAAAACGCACACGGCATTTGGTCTTTCTACCCCGACGTTCGAAAGTACGCTAAATTGTCCATTGGCTCTCGTTGGCATTCGATTTGTTTATTCTGATTAGAAGGACCGCTGCTGCTGCTACTGCTGCGGCGACGCTGCTGCCGAGCACAGACGAGTTGCACTCAATTATACGAAGGTAGTGATTTGAGTGAGTTTGCTCCAAAAAACACACAGGCACAGAGAACATCATTTGTAAGAGCAAAGGAGAGAGTGGGTGAAAGTAATGTCTCTCTGTACTCACCACTGTGTGTGTGTTGTGTAAGAGCAACGAGAAATGTAAACAAAACAAATGTAGAACAAAATCGAGAAGAATTATTGCGGAAATTATCGACTGCCAAAAATGTACTTCCGTCGTTTCTACAAAGACAACACATGTGTGCCATGTATGTGTGTGTGTGCGCGTGGCTGTGTGTACCCAAAAGGGCCAGTATGTGTCAAAAGTAAACGGTAATGAAACCCAAAATCGTTTAAATTGTCGCATCATCCCTTTATCTCAACCCTTCGTTTTTTTGTTTGTATTGTAAATTTATACGTCAAGTTTATGTGTAAATATGTAGCTTCTCTCTTATCGGCCACTAGTGAGTTATCTTCATTGCACAATGGGTGGATTTTGTCTAAGAGCGGAAAGGGTGAGACAAACATGGATGAATTTTAAAAATAATTAGATTTTTTTAATAAAAAAAGTATTTTGTAAGAGAGGCAAAGCTATACACGCCGCAAACACAAAATGCAATAAGATAAAAATTAATTTTAAGGGGGGGAGTTAGGGCTTTTCAGTGGAAGCTAAGGGCTTTTCAGGGCCATTTCAGCGGATCAACGAAACTCCAACCGAATACATTTTGTTGAATTTTTGTGATGCACAATCAGAGCTCCTAACACGAACTAAGCTAAAATTGAATTTTTATCGGAATTTTGTGAAGGACAACCCCTGGAGTAGCTAAATCGAATCGGTGATTTTTAAATTACATCCCATGTCATAGATCTTCATGTGTTTTTTTTAATGAACCGAAATATCTGCAATCCCGAAGTAGGGATAGGGATTTTTTGGCAGTTTTGGAATTTAATCGAGCTTCAAATATTGTGGACCAACTAAATTTCAATCGTGGATTTTTCATTGGAATTTTGTGGTGGACCAATCGTGGATTTCGAAAAAATTTTAAAGATATTTTGTAATGCATCAACAAACTTCCAATAGGAGATTTATAAAATATCTCATATATCTCTCATGGATCTCATGGGAATTTTGTGATCAAATCTTTGTTATGGACATTTCGTAATGGGCGAATAGAGCTTCTGTCCTTAGTTCTATTATGAAATTGAAAAATTGAATTTTTGTTAGAGTTGTGGCAGTCATGTCATGGGGGAAATTTTATCAGAAATCCACAAAATCCATAAAATTCTCCCGATATTCGGTTTTTTTATTGTTTTAGCTACATTATTCATCGATTTTTTTTAGTTTGAATATTCTAATGGCTTATGACAAAAGTTACCTGTGCAGGTCCATATCGTTGTATAGTCCCTAATATAACAGCAACATTTGGTATTTTTAAGATTTTAACAGATTTCGTTCTAAATGGTGGATAGTATTCAAAGTAAACGTGAATTGTTAGAAAAAAATTGTTCATGAATTTTTATTAGATTTTTTAATCGTGAATTTTCATAAAAATCATGAATTTAATCGTGAATTTTTAGAAAAAAATTTTTATTCGTGTATTTTTATTAGTTTTTTTAATAGTGGATTTTTGTTAGGTTTCTCTAATCGTGGATCTTAATAAAAAAATATTTTGTTGTTGCAAAATGGTCAGGCTTAATCCCTTTATTGTTGTTTAAAAAAAATAAAATCGTTAACAAAAATAATATTAAAGTATTTTTTACTTTAAACATTTTTTTTTATTATAAAAAACTTTAAAACTTTTTTTCAATAATCATGGATTTTTATAAAAAATGTTATTTTATAATTTTTTTGTAAAATTATAAAAAAAATGTTGAAAATATCTCTTAAAGAATTTATAAATAATAAAAATTTTTAAATTATTTAATTATTTTTCTTTAATTGTTGAAAAGGAATTTTTCATTTAAAAATTATTATTATAACAATTTTTTCTATAATCATCAATTTTTATGAAACATTGTTCTTTTCTGGATAATTTTTTATAAAGAAAAATATTTTTAAAGATTTTTGTATAAAACAAAAAATTCAAAAAAAAAAAATAAAAATAATTTTTTTCAAAAATATTTTTAAAGAATTTTCCTTTTATAAATATTTTTTACAAAAATATTTTAAAAGCCATTTCCTTTAGTTCTGGATAAACTGTTATAACAGTTTTTTTATAAAGTCATGAAATTTTATAAAGAATTCTCCTAATTTTTGTAAATAATTTTTCTGTTATAAATAAGTTTTACTAAAAATATTTCTATATTCGCAAATTTTTAGTTATACACCTGTTTTTTGTACAGAATTTTTTAAAAAATATTTATAAAGAAATTGTTCAAAGATAACTTATAGCGGATTTTAATAAAGATTTTTTTTATTTTATAACGATTTTTATCCAACTTCTGTTTTAAATTCCTCATAAAAGAAAATATATTTTTTTTTACTTTCGGTATGTCAAAAACATTATATATTTTTCGTTTTTAAACAATTTTAATACAGAATTTATTTTATAATCGTGGATTTTTCAAAGAACTTTTAATTTTTTTTAAATTTCGTTCAAAAGCTCCCATTCAATAGCTCAACTCTTCCAATGTCAATAACTCGACTGGACATAACAAGATTGTAGATGGATTACATTATTAAATGACTGCTAATCATTGATTGTCAATTCTTAAAACCCCAGGTCCTTAAAGAAAACATTGTGAAAGATCCATCTTTAATATCTCAAGTAGTCCTTGAGAACAGTATTCTTTAGCAACACATGTTTATTAGCTCGACTGAAATTTTAAAATATAATAATATAAATAATATAAAAAAAACTGTAAGTTTGGCCGGGCCGAACTTTGAATACCCATTTGGAACGAATTTGGCAATTATCAAAAAAATAAAATCCTTTAAAAATTTTGTTAAAATCTTAAAAGTACCGAATATAGTCCTCATATGAGGTTTCATACGACGACGTGGACCTGCATAGGTAACTTTTGTCATAAGCCATCACAATATTCAAATGGGAAACTTGAATAAAAAAGTTACGTGAATAATGTCGCTAAAATCATCAAAATACCGAATATCGGGAGGTACCGCTATATGGGGGCTATACGAAGACTTGGACCTGAACAGACAATCCCCTGTCATAGGCTGTAGCATCCATTACGAACTTCAAATACCAAATTTGAAAGAATTCCGGCGAATAACGTCGCTAAAATCATCAAAATACCGAATATCGGGAGGTGACACTATATGGGGGCTATACGAAGACGTGGATCTACACAGACAATTTTCTCTCTTGTGTTGTAATATCCATTTCGAACTTCAAATACCAAATTTGAAAAAATACCGGTGAATAATGTCTCTAAAATCATCAAAATATCGAATATCGGGAGGTACCGTAATATGGGGACTATACGAAGACGTCGACCTGTACAGACAATTTTCTGTTTTAGGCTTTAGTATTCATTACGAACATCAAATACCAAATTTGAAAGAATTCCGGTGAATAATGTCACTAAAATCATCAAAATACCGAATATCGGGAGGTACCGTTATATGGGGGCTATACGAAGACTTGCACCTGCACAGACAATTTTTAATCCACAATAAATAACCTAACGTAGCATTAATTTATTAAAAATTATAGAAAGAAATTAAAAGCTATACAAATTATGGATAGCCTTTGGAATCTCGGTAATGCTTTCCGTCCGATCCAGCTTGATATATCTTCAATAATTTTCACATCATTCCTGCTTTATTACAAAACATTATAAACTTAATTTTATCGGGTTATGTACAGAAATCCAGGCCATAATTTAAAAACATCATATAAAACAGCTCAAATAGCTTTAGTCTTCAGTAAAGAACATTTCTAATAGATCGGGCTTTTCACATTGGTCACCCTCCAGACGTATGACCGTTTGCCAGCGAATCAGTGTGGGAATAACCATCAACTTGAGGCGGGCATCTTCACGGAAGGGATTTTTCATGTCTTTCCAACTAAAAAAAATTTAAAATTATATAAATATTATTAATTGAATCACAGAAGATTAGTTATTTTACTCACAAAGGTCTATTGCCCACGTCGACAGTTAGGAAAACAGAATCATCATCGGCAAATTCTTTGACGGCAGCCTCAACTTTGGGTCCAGCTAATAGAATTATAATATAATTTGTTATTATTCTTATAAATTGAATTTGTTATAAATTACAAACTGTACCTACCCACATTGCAATCGGGACACCAGCTGACACCATTTTCATCCTTCTCACCGGTGAAATAGACAAATAATTTTTTGCCACATTTGCTCAGTTCTTCGACGGATTTTTCGAAGCCATCAAAACCTTTGGCATGTTCCACTCGCACCATTTTCCCTGTTGTTAACCTACTTTGTTACTGGATCGAATGGTAAGAATATTTTGGTTTTATCTCACCGATAGATTTACTAATCAAGTGATTTTTTTGTTTAACTTTTATTGAGCAGAGATAAAGGGTATTGATAATGACCGGTAAATATGTTGTCAACAAGGCGTAAACATAAGGTGACCGTGTTGAGTAAATTGTGGAGGTAGCAGGTGATACTAGGTTTACATTTACTGTGAGAGTTGGTGATTTGTTTTGTGAAGACTTTTAAAATTAAAGAAGAAGCTTAATGGCTGGTAAGGAATTTTAATGTAAATCCGACTTTAGAATACTACTTACTTAATAATATGAATTATTATACCCTCCGGTATGGAGAATGGCAGAAGAATACAGGTAGATGCATTAACGCTTTGGAGCATCAAAAATTTTTAAATGTTTTTTTGTTTATTGTGTTTTTTTTAACAATTTTTACAAATTTAAATAATTTTTCATTCAACATTTTCAATTCCAAATTTAGTTTGACAGTTCATTGTCCCAGCAGCTGTGTTGATGTGTCTACCCATGGTACAATGAAGAGAAGGTAGGTCAACTTTGAAAAAATTGCAAGTATAGAGGTCTACCTGTTTGGCTTGTATTGTCAGAAATAGTATCAAATCAATAACAAAATCAAACAACTTGTTGCATTTATTTTGAATAAATAGTTGAAAACCGCGAAAACTGAATAAAAGGTCAACACTTCTTTTCAAAACCAGGTTCTATATATCTCTAAAGGTTTATTTCGCTACAAAAACTCTAGATTTTGTCGAAGCATACGATGAAATAAACATTTTGAAAACATCCGAATTTGAATGTTTTCTGAACAATTTTTTTGTTATTGAAAAGAAAACACATACATAAACAAATAAAGATGACATATTAAGCCAAGAAAATAAAAAAATTGAAATCATATGGTATCATAGCCCTACCTTGATATCATTGTACCATGTGTCTACCTATATTCTTCTACCATGGTATGGAGGGTATATTAAGTTTGTCATTACGTTTGTAACACTGCGAAATATACATTTTAGGCCCCACAAAGCATAAAATTCTATGTCGATCTAGCAAAGTCCGTCCCTCTATCCGTCTGTGAAATCACTCTTGCTTCCGAACGAAATAAAGTAAGTTGATAAAAATTTACTCAAATGTGTATTATGTCTGCAGGACTTTTGATATTGAAATTGGGCCATGTAGGTCGACGTCTTCGTATAGACCCCATGTACCTCCCGATATTCCGTATTTTGATGATTTTAGAGACATTATTTAACGGAACTATTTCAAATTTGGTATTTGAAGTTCGTAATAGATACTACAGCATAAGACAGAAAATGGGCCATGGGCCGTCTTCGAATAGCCCCCATAAAATGGTACCTCCCGATATGCGATATTTTGATGATTTTAGCGACATTATTTAACGGAATTATTTCAAAATTGGTATTTGAAGTTCGTAATGGATGCTACAGTATAAGACAGAAAATGGACCATGTAGGTCCACGTCTTCGTATGGCCCTCATATAACGGTACCTCCCGATATGCGGTATTTTGATGATTTTAGCGACATTATTTACTGGAACTGTTTTTTTTTTCGTATTTGAAGTCCGTAATGAATACTACAGCTTATTTTGTTTGTGCAGGTCAACATGTTCGTATAGCCCCCATACAGCAGTGCTTCCCGGTACTCGGTATTTTGATGATTTTAGCGACATTATTTACCGATTTTTTTTCAAATTTCGCATTTGAAGTTCGTAATGGATACTACAGCCTATGCCAGAAACAGGTCAACGTTTTTTAAACCCCATGGTTCCTCCATATATTCGGTATTTTGATGCTTTTAGGTACATTATAAACAGATTTTCTTCAAAGTTTCGCATTTGAATATTGTAATAGCTTACGACAAAGTTGCCTATGCAGGTCCACGTCGTCGTAAAGACTCTAGTATACGGCTGCATTCGATATTTTAAGATTTTAACAGAATTTTTAACGGATTTTTTTATTTTTATTTATTATTTTTTTTTTCATATTGCCAAATTTTTTACCAAATGGTGGAGGGTATTCCAACTTCGGCTCGGCCTAACTTACAGCTTTTTTACTTGTTTTAAATATAAAACAGAATCCAAAAGTTCCAATTGTTACAAAGAAGAATAGCCAATGTGAATGCAAATAAAATGATATAAATAAGAATGGCTCAAATAGAATGAAAAGTAAGCAGAACTATTAGAATTGCACAGTTCACAAACGAACTACATTGATACGCCAAACAATTTAAAAAAGTTTTTCAAAAATATTTAGATTTTATATGTTTTCTTATAGGACGCAAATCGGAGGTTGTTATGATATTCATTTTTCAACAATTTTTACAAATTTCAATAATTTTTTAATTAATAATTTTTCATTTATCATTTTCAATTCCAAAATCGGTTTGACAGTTCATTGTCCCAGCAGCTGTGTCGATGCGACTACCTGTATTCTTCTACCATGGTTTCATTCTAGTCTAGTTCAGTTCAGCAGTTTATTCACATATTAAATTACGGCTTCCACTGTGCTAAAGATTTTATTAGACGGTATTTTTTTATAAATATGTGCTGCCGATTTTACTATCTATGTGCATTTCAGTTTAATTATTTTCCATCCCACACTTACATTTGCTTTTTATTTCCTTTGATTACATTGTTTTTATATTATGTTTACATCACCACAACACATACTTGAGCGCCATCTACATAATATCCCAAATCAACATTGGTGAAAGTTTACCACGTCAAACAATCGAGTAACATTCACAGTGAATTGATAACTCACTGATTTTTGTTTGCCGGCTCAACTCGATAAAAGTTTTTTCCACAGCGAATCAATCAAACGAGACCAACACATACAGCCCCGTGGAGAAGAAGAAGAAAGAATTACGTGTCATTGTAGTAAACAGGCAAGATTCTAATCGATAATTAGTAGTCAAGACCTGAAAGTGATATAGTTTTTTCTTCGTCGTGGTCAACTGGCGGAGCGACATGAATCGTCCTGCGTCGAAAATCTTCAATAGAACTGCCGGTTACAGCAGTTTGATAACCTTTGCGGTCCTATTGATTGCCTGGTTAGCCGGCTTTTCCTCGCGTCTCTTTGCTGTAATCCGGTTCGAGTCGATTATTCATGAATTCGATCCATGGTTCAATTACCGGGCCACAGCCTATATGGTGCAACATGGTTTCTACAAATTCCTGAATTGGTTCGATGAGAGAGCGTGGTATCCGCTGGGTCGCATTGTGGGCGGCACCGTTTATCCCGGCCTGATGATAACATCGGGCAGCATCCACTACCTGCTGCATGCCTTGAACATTCCAGTGCACATACGTGATATTTGTGTATTTCTGGCCCCCGTTTTCAGTGGCCTAACAGCTATTTCCACGTATTTGCTAACCAAAGAGTTGTGGTCGTCGGGTGCTGGTCTATTTGCTGCCAGTTTTATTGCCATTGTGCCGGGCTATATCAGTCGCTCGGTGGCCGGTTCATATGATAACGAAGGCATTGCCATCTTTGCCCTACAATTCACCTATTTCTTGTGGGTGAGAGCTGTGAAGACAGGTTCAGTGTTTTGGTCTGCCGGAGCTGCCTTGTCATATTTCTACATGGTATCCGCCTGGGGTGGCTATGTGTTCATCATCAACTTGATCCCTCTGCATGTGTTTGTGTTGCTGATAATGGGCCGGTACTCGTTGCGTTTGTTGACAAGTTACAGCACCTTCTATATCTTGGGATTGATCTTATCTATGCAGATACCATTTGTGGGTTTCCAACCCATTCGCACCAGTGAGCATATGGCTGCCTTGGGTGTATTCCTGTTGCTGATGGCTGTGGCTGCTTTGAAACATTTACAATCGGTGCTGTCGAAGAGTGAATTCAAGAGGCTGTTTATTGTTGGTGGCCTGTGTGCAGCTGCTGTGGTATTCCTCGGTGTGGTGACCCTGACTGTCATGGGTGTCATTGCTCCATGGAGTGGTCGTTTCTACTCCTTGTGGGATACTGGCTATGCTAAAATCCACATTCCAATTATTGCCTCGGTCTCGGAACATCAACCCACCACCTGGTTCTCATTCTTCTTCGATCTACACATTTTGGTGTGTGCCTTCCCGGTGGGTGTGTGGTATTGCGTCAAGAAAATCAATGATGAGCGAGTATTTGTGGTGCTGTATGCCATTAGTGCGGTATACTTTGCCGGTGTCATGGTACGTCTCATGTTGACCCTCACTCCTGTGGTTTGTATGTTGGCCGGTGTTGCCTTCTCGGGACTCTTGGATGTTTATTTGAGAGAAGATAATAGCTGTCCTGCAGCAGCAGCCGCCGTGTCGAACAGCGAAGAGAATGATGAAAGTCCTGCGGAGAAGAAATTACTTTACGACAAGGCTGGTAAACTGAAGCACCGTGTAAAGCATGATCCCCAACAGCAAGAAGGTACCAATGGTGTGGGCTCCAATCTTCGCAGCATTGTGATCTTGGCCATACTGATGATTCTAATGATGTTTGCCGTTCATTGTACCTGGGTAACCAGCAATGCCTATTCCAGTCCCTCTATCGTTTTGGCCTTCCACAACAGCCAGGATGGTTCCCGCAACATTTTAGATGATTTCCGTGAAGCTTACTATTGGTTGTCGCAGAACACCGCTGACGATGCCCGCATCATGTCCTGGTGGGATTATGGTTATCAAATAGCCGGCATGGCAAATCGAACTACTCTGGTGGACAATAATACTTGGAACAACAGTCACATAGCCTTGGTGGGTAAGGCCATGTCCTCCACCGAAGAGAATGCATATGAAATTATGACATCTCTGGATGTGGATTACGTTTTAGTAATCTTTGGCGGTGTCATTGGCTATTCGGGTGATGATATCAACAAATTCCTGTGGATGGTACGTATTGCCGAGGGTGAACATCCCAAGGATATCAAGGAAAGTGATTACTTCACAGATCGTGGTGAATTCCGTGTGGATAGTGAAGGTGCTCCCGCTCTGCTCAATTGTTTGATGTACAAGCTGAGCTATTATCGTTTTGGTGAACTAAAATTAGACTACAGAGGACCGGCTGGGTACGATAGAACCCGCAATGCTGTCATTGGCAATAAAGATTTCGATTTAACCTACTTAGAGGAGGCATATACCAGCGAACATTGGCTGGTACGCATATATCGCGTCAAGAAACCCCATGAATTTAACCGACCCGCCCTTAAGGCTGACGATCGTCTTGTCTCGCCGACAAACTTTGTGTCGCGTAAGAACTCAAAACGCAAGCGTGGTTACATTAAGAGTAGACCTGTTGTAGTCAAAGGAAAAAGAAGTCAAAAATAAATAAAACAAAAGTTTTTTGTAATTATTTTATTTTTTCTATAGAATTCTTTTTAATTTGCAACAACAACCACAAAAATGGTAGAATGCGACAGTGCAGTAGGTTTGCCTGACTGACTGAAATAGAATATAATTGGTATTGAATGAAGCAGTGCATTTCTGTTTGCAAGTTTATATGTTATATAAAGAAAAACAAAAAACAAAAACACAAATAAATATTATTTCCAATTATACAATCGATGTGTGTGTGACTTCAATTTAATAAATAAAATTAATAAATGAATGAGTTTTTATTCACAAAGTAATAAAATCAAAGATATGGTGTTGCTTTTACTTTTAATTATGGGATTAAGTGATAAGAAGTGATTGGCTGTTAAGAATATAATTTTAAAGGAACGCGAGAGCATGACTAATAGGAAAGAGAGGTAAAATAATGAATTTTTCAAAATTTCAGAAAAAATCTACAGGAGGAGTCAAAAATAAGCTGCAAAGAGCGTCCTAATTCTACTTTGGTAAACTCTCGCATTTTTTTAATTTTTCTTCAAAGGTAGGTAATTTGAACCCCGATTCCCGGAAAGTGTTTTTTCTTTGGGAACGAACCAGGTTATCCAGATGTCTGGGTTTAAGACCATTCGTAGAATAGTAGTGAAATAACTCACTGACCGAGACTAAACGAGTGAAGCTAGAATATTGGAATTTTGCACGAAGAACAGTCTTGACCTCCCCCACCGGTCTGTCTTTTGTCTGCAGGCAGGTTAAGTTCAAAGATGGGCTACATCGGTACACGATACCCCCCCCCCAAAATTCTACACAAGGAAGTCTCTGTGAGAACTTTACCCCGGAAAAGAATTGTCTATATAGGTCCACGATATATGCGGTATTTTGCTGATTTTAGCCACATTTTTCAATGGAATTGTCCGAAATTTAATATAGCACCCATATAACGATACCCCAAGATATTCGGTATTTCCAGGATTTTTGCGGGATTATTCACCGGAATTGTTTGAAATTTAGTATTTGGATTTCGTAATGGATTTTATAGCCTATGACAGGTCCACGTCTTCATATAGTCCCCATATTTGATGATTTTCGCAACAATATTAACCGGAATTGTTTCAAATACGGTATTTGAAGTCTGCAATGGATATTACAGCATATGTCTGTGCAGGTCGTCGTATTGCCCTCATATAACGGTACCTCTCGATATTCGGGATTTTGATGAGCTTAGCCATTATTCACAGGGAAATTTTCAAATTTAGTATTTGAAGTTCGTAATGGATACTACAGCCTATGACAGAGAATTGTCTGTGCAGGTCCACGCCTTCGTATAGCCCCCAAATAACGGTACCCCCCGATATTTGGTATTTTGATGATTTTAACGACATTATTCAAAGGAATTGCGTTAAATTTCGTATTGGAAGTTCGTGAGCAGGACCTGTATAGTACCCATACAACGGTTTTCATTAATGTGGTAGTTATCGGATTTTTTTTTTTTTTTTTTTTTGAAAAATGTCAAGTTCCTTCCATTTGGTAGTCCAAATGGTATTAAAAGTTCGGCTCAGCCGAACTTAGCTGCTTTTCAACTAGTTTTCATTTACAGCCCTCATAAAATGTGAGTTTATTCATCAATCTATTGCGAAGATGCCTGTATTTTAATAAATAGTTATATGTTGAGAATATATATCCCGATACCCCAATACAACAGAACTAGATCAAATATGCCTGGGTGAGTCTATTTAAAAATTAGATCTACTATATTTATTATTGGGATCTCACATTCCAAAAGTTTTTCTCACAGAGATGACTACATTGGGTCCGAAAAAAAAAAAACTCGCCACAATGGCCAGAGAAGTTCATCAACGTTTAATTATTTGAATGTAAACTTGAACCTCAACTTCAAGATTAAACATGCGGTCATATTACATTGCGCTCTTGTAGAAAATTACGACGCCTAAAATTTGTTTACAAAGCGAAAAAAATCATAGTAAAAACTATTTGGCATCAGCATTTTTTTTCTTTGAAAGAACTCTAGACATGATGTGATGAGTGGTGGCGTCCAACTAATTAGTCTTGATGGAAATAAAAGCATGCGAAAAATGTGCCGAAGAATACAGTCTACGTTTGGAAATGGGTAAGTGAAATACACCAAAGAACTGACTTGAAATAAGAATCTAAAGACCTTTCCAATTTTTAGCCCAGCTTAAATCATCAACAACACCAAACTCAACATGGAAATCCATATTGTTTTTTATCGTCATGTATCTAGCAGTGGCGGATGCAGTCATCACAAAAATACCCTACAAAAATACAATTTTGTCTGAAGATAAATCCCTAAAGAAACCGCTGGGTCTAAATGAAAAATCCACAGCTAACCCTTTATCCACAGAGGACACAAATGACAGTACCACCGAATTAGCTTCCGAAGAGAGTTTTGAATCCTCTACAGATTCAAAGCTGTCTCTAACCACGGCCGAAGAGGAAAGAATTCTAAAATCTACAACTTTACCCACAAAAATGTCGGTAAAATTACCAAAGAAATCTCGCTTAAGCAGTAATCGTTTGACAAATTCAACCGAACTTGTTCCATGCACCTGTGGTATTTTTCTAAATTCCCAGTTTACCAAAGGCTCCACAGATCCTCCGCGTGGCGAAGCAGTTATATCGAACTTATTGGATCGTACATTTCCCTGTAATGGAATCGGACAGAGGCAGTGTCAAACTAAATGTCTGGAACAGGTAAGAAAGCAGGGTGGTAATAAGAACACAGAAACTTGTATTTAAAATGAATCCGATCCTTAACAAAAGCGAAACAAATTGTCGCTAGTCGCGTTCAAATTTTTGAAAAAAAAAAAAAAAACGTTCATAAAACAGGAAATAAAAATCCAACTCAATATTAAAGAGCATAAAATATTAACCAAAATATTTTTTTAATATTTTCTCTGTTTAGATTGCCCGCCACCTGCCGAATTCGGCCAATATCCTTTGTGCTGCCTTAGATCATGATATACACAAACAGCGCGCATATTTATTCACCAAAAACTGTCAAGATGTTTGGGTCAACACCAATTTAGCTGCGGGACGAGAATATTGTTGTAAAAATCGTGAACCTTATAGTTGTAAAAAATAGCACTGATTATTTGCACACAATTAAAAAGCTAAGAATCAAATATAAAATATCAGTATTAAAGAATTAATTCCATTAATAAACAAAAATAAATAAATGAGAGAAAGATAGTCAGGATTAATTCGAGCGTTGTTTAAATATTTCTATATAACCGTCTAGTCACACGAAGAAAGATATTACGCTTGGGATATTTGACATTAGAAATGGCATATCTGGGCCAAAGAAAAGTCAGGTCCAAATTCAGGTATTTGAATGCGCCTGCCAACCTCCAACATATAATAAAGGGTAAATTTGTCATTTGTTATTCCATTTGCAACACCTCGAAATATTCGTCGGGGACCCCAACATGTAAAAAAAACATTAAGTTCGACCGGGCTGAACTTTTAATACCCTCCGCCATTGGCTAAAAAAAAAAATTATATAAAATTATCTGAGTTCAAAAGTGTTCTACAAATACCAGTAAGACCGTTTGGATAATGCTGTTAAACTTTTCAAAAAACCATAGATTGGGTGAGGCTATTCTATGGAGGCCATACCAAAACGGGAAAGGCTATCGACAATTGTATACTTCTAGGATTGCCATCTACCAAATCTTCTTAAATACTAAATTTGAAAAAATTTCGTGGGTATATGTGACTAGGATTATCAAAATACCAAATATCGCTGGTTATCGTTTCATGTGCGCCATAGGAAAACATGGATCATAGATCAGCCTTGCTCATAATATATGCATTAGTAGTGGTAATAGACTCTCTCGCCCTGCCAAATCAATGGCAAATAAGAATCGAGAGAGAATACATGTGCCAGATATTCAATGTTCTGCCACCGGAGCGAGGACCCAATAAGAACTTCAAGCACAATTTTTTAGATAAATTCGTGGAAAAATGGCAAAAATCATCAAAACACCGAATATCGGGAGGTACCGTTGTATGGGGGTTATACCAAAATTACCTTTTTTCTTATTTTATTTTTAATGTGTGTCGAAAATGTTTATATACATATGTTTATATGAAAGTGAAGGGAAAGAACCACCAATTATATGTGTTTTTTTTAATTTTTGGATTTTTTTTTCAAAATGAAGTCAAAATTTAAAAGACTCCATGTGCGTTTTTAGAATTTTGATTTTTCTTCACACCCAAAAAAAATTAAAATTTGGTGTTTTTCGCGTTAATTTTCCGTTGACATGCAAAAACAAGCTCTTAAATATTTACTCTTACAGTTTGAAATTTCATAACACTTTTTACATATTTTAATAACTAAGCGAAGGCATAAAGGCATAAAATCGACTTACCACTCATTGACGATAAAACCACTCGTTGAAATTAATCATCACACAAAAGCTAAAAAAATTGCGATTTTTCTCTTGTATCCAAGTAGACCACACTTGTATTTTTTGTTATGTGAACATTTCCTTTTTTATTTTGCTGAGCTTTGTGAGACAGAGATGCACGTATTTCGTTGGTTGAAAGCACACACCAACGAACAAACTTCTTAACACACGAACACATATACACTTTACATTTTATTTCTAAGATTTCTAAATAAATTTTATTTTAATTTAAATAAACTTTATTTTAATTTTTCTGTGCATGAGAATTTGTTCAAATTTCCATATACCTATTATCAACCTATTTTAACACAATACCAAAAATGTAACATGAAAGCACTCACTTGCATTTTTTGCGAAGATTTAATATTTAAGTTTAAACATTTTACTTTTAAATTCACTAAAAGTCACCAGGAAGTATTTGCACTTATTTCTTGTTTTAAACACCAGTTCGGCAAAACACGTCCGTCCATTTTAACACCCGACCGATAACTAATGTTTCGTTTTTTTGTTCTCAAATCTTCTAATGAGATTTTAAATCAGAGTAATAAATGAGAATATTTACATAAAAACATTTAAAAACAGTAATGCCAACAACAAATACCAAAAGTTGCATTGCAATATCTACATGACACTCTTCTTCAATAACGGACAAACAAAGAGAAATATAAAGTTTTAGACTTTTCTCTCCTCTCCTATTTTTTAATGCAATGGATGAGGTCGATACATACAAACATGTTCATATGGGCCACCATGCCACATTATGGTACACTTTTAAGGATAGCCGTGTCTGATCTACGAGTGCAAATCTCTCTGTATTATGTTTAAGAGAGCACTCATATGGCAACAACGTCAAGAAAGAGCAGGAAGATGTTCCCATACTTCAAAAGACGAATAAAATTTGCCTTAAATGTTGGTTCAACCCAATTAACAAAAAAAAAAAAACAAAGTTCTACGATCTTCTACCATGAGGGAAAAATCTTCGAAAATATATATGTACGGCGGCTTTTCCGGTAAAATTTACTTAGTGACCTGTACTTTCTCTGCACCTATACTTCTCCTGTATGCATGTATTCCACACATGTATTGTTTGCTATGCAACGTTTCCTCTTTTATTTTGCAAATCTTTGTGAGACAGAGATGCACCTTTTTCATTGAGTGGTAGCACACACCAACGAACAAACTTCATAACACAAGCACACATATACACTTTACACTTCATTCCTATACATCGGTAAATTCCCGCCAAAACGAAACAAATTTGCGTCTTTTGTGTTAAAACAAGAAAATGGAAATGAAAATTATGAAATGGCCACAAGTTAACAATACATAAACATGCATAGATTTGACTTAAGACAAATAAGTTTCATGTTACCTTACTGTGTGTGAAAATTTTTTGGATTTGCCAAACTTTTTGATGCATTTATTATAAAAAATGCAATTTACAAAACACTCACTTGAAATTTCTGTTAGTATTTATGATAATCAGTCCAAATAATTTTCTTTTTAATTCACTAGAAGTCGCCAGTTTTTTTGTTTCATTTTTTTTCACTTTTGATTTGTTAAACATCCGCGTTCGACAAAACACGTCCGTCCATTTCAACAACCGACCGATAAACTAAACTTTTAAATTCTCAATTCTTCTAAATGAGATTTCAAATCAGAGCATCAAATGAGAATATGTGCAAACACATGTACGCACATAACTCTTCAAGAGGATAAAGGAAATGAGCAATCTACTCCAAAAACAGTGAAGTCTACACAAATTGTTAAAAGTTGCATTGCAAAATCTATATCACACTTCAATGTAAGAAAAAAATCTGCAAAAGAGAGCGATTCAAGAGAAAAACTTTTACAGCTCTTTTGCTGAGAGTTTGCAAATTCTGGCCGGACAATCATTTGCAACTCTTCTTCCTTTTAAAAACCGTGTTCTAGAACATGAGCTGCAAAAAGAGAGAGATAATTTAAAAGAAAATTAAAATTCTGTTTTCTTTATATTTTACGATTCCATTTAATTGTTTTTAAACATGAATGTTTCCCAAAATAATTTTTAGTGCAAATGGATAACAAATATTTGTATAAATAATGACTTAACACCGATTTGTTCGTGATTTAAATAAGCAAAGAGAAATTTGGCTGGTAAGAGATATTTTTCTTGAGCAGTGCTGTTTTAAATTCAACGGTTATCTGTTTTGCGCAAGCAATTTAAAAATATTTTTATTCAGAGCAGCCCTGAACATGAGCCAAAAAAAGAGATAATTTAAGAGAAAATTAAAATTCTGTTTTTCTTTATATTTCACAGTTTCATTTAATTGTTTTTAAACATGAATGTTTGACAAAATAATTTATAAAGCAAATGGATAAAAAAAATTGTATAAATAATGTCTTAACACTGTTTTGTTCTTGATTTAAATAAGCAAAGAGAATTTTGACTGGAAAAAGATATTTTTTTCCTTGAGCAGAGTTGCCGATAACTAAAATCAGCACTGCTCAAGAAATATATCTCTTTCCCGTGTTCTAGAACATGAAGCGAAAAAAGAGATAATTTAAGAGAAAATTAAAATTCTGTTTTTCTTAATTTTTTAACGATTCCATTTAATCATTTTTAAATATGAATGTTTGCCAAAATAATTTATAAAGCAAATGGATAAAAAATATTTTTATAAATAATGACTTAACACTGTTTAATTCTTGATTTAAATAATCAAAGATAAATTTGACTGGAAAGAGATATTTTTTCTTGAGCAGCGCTGATTTACATACAAGAGGATAAAGAAGGATAAAAACAGTGATGCCAACAACAAATACCAAAAGTTCAATTGCAATATCTACATGACACTTTTCTTTAATGCGGACAAACAAAGAGACATTTAAAATGTTTGACTTTTCTCTCCTCTCCTATTTTTTTAATGCAATACAAACATATTCAAATGGACCACAACATCACATTAAGGTAAAATTGTAAGGATAGATGCTTTGCGAATGCAAAACTCTTAAGTTTGAGAGATCGCACATATTGGAACATCGTCGAGAAAGGTAGGTAAACGTTGCCAAACTTCAAAAAAGTGTGTTAATGAAAATGAAATAATTTTTGCCTTTATTTTTGGTTCAACAAAATTCAAACAAAACAAAGTTCTACTATTTTCTACCATGTGGGAAAATCTTTGAAAATATGTATGTACGGCGGCTTTTCCGGTAAAATTTACTTAGTAACCTGTACTTCCTCTGCACCTATACTTCTCCTGTGTGCATGTATTCCACACATGTATTGTTTGCTATACAACGTTTCCTTTTTATTTCGCAAAGCTTTGTGAGACAGAGATGCACATATTCCGTAATGTGACAGCACACACCAGCGAACAAACTTAATAATACAAGCACACATATGTATATACTTTTCATTTCTATACATCGGTAAATTCCCGCCAAAATGAAACAAAGTTGCGTCTTTTGTGTTAAAACAAGAAAATGGATATTAAAATTATGAAACGGCCACAAGTTAACAATACAAAAACGTGCTTAGATTTGACTTAAGACAAATAAATTTCATGTTACCTTGCTGTGTGTGAGAAATTGTTGAATTACCCAAACACTTTGATGCATTTTTTATAAAAAAAGGCAATTTACAAAACATTCACTTGAAATTTCTGTTTCTGTTAACGATCATCATTTTCAACATTTTATTTTTTAATTCACAAGAAGTCACCAAGAACGATATGTATTTATTTGTTATAATTACAGTTTTTTCTTTTTTAATTTGTTAAACATCCGCGTTCCACAAAACACGTCCGTCCATGTCAACAACCGACCGATAAACTAAACTTTCATATTCTCAATTCATCTAAATGAGATTACGAATCAGAGCATCAAATGAGAATAGGTGCAAACACATGCTCGTACATAACTCTTCAAGAGGATAAAGGAAACGAGCAATCTACTCCAAAAACAGTGAAGTCTACAAAAATTGTTAAGAGTTGCATTGCAAAATCTACATCACACTTCAACATAAGAAAAAAAAAAAAAACAAGAGAGAAACTGTTACAGCTCTTTTGCTGAGACAATCATCGGACAATCGGACAATCATTTGCAACTCTTCTTCCTTTCCAATTTAAAAATATTTTTATTTTGAAACTCAGGAGCTTAATCGTTTTTTTTTTTTTTTTTTGAGAGCAAAGAGAGTGAGAGAGAGCAAAGCAAGTTAATTCATCCTTTTATGGCTCATTTTCCTTCTTATTTTTTAATAAAATACAATTTTTTATATTTTCGCGAGTTTTATTTCGTTTTAACTGCCTTGTAGATGGTCCAAATGAATGACATGCAATTTTGTGTGTTTGTGAAAATATGTATGTATGCGACACACCTACGATGCATGAAGTAAAATCACAACTTTTTGATTTTTCTCATGCATGTCGCTCGATTTTGACATGTGTTCAGTGGAGGCATCATGCATATTCTCATTTGCGACTTTTTTCAAAGGGAATGGCTGCATACAGTTGTCGGATAATGAGAACATTTTTTTTTTGAATTGTTGGAAGTTTACCGGTTGTTTCCAGCATGAACCGTGTGCGCTGAAAGCTTCAAGCACGCGTACACGATTTGATGTCATGCATTTTTACCGTCTGCAGGGCACTTTATTGCGGAGTGTTTACAGTTTTCTTGTAAGAGAATAAAACTAACTTCTCTACTCTCTCAGTAAAAAAATTCACTGGACAATTCCCCAGAAAAAAAAAACGAGCAAATGGCAGATGAATAAAAAAATAATGAGCAAGTGAAAGACATTAAATGTAACCTATTCCACCTACATAGGTGGTTGAAATGGCTACGTTTTGACATTAATATTTTTTGATAAAAAAATTCACTTTTGCTAGTTGCGGTGCACGTTCTCTAACAGGAAATGAAAAATATTTGAAATATGTCTGAATGTTCCCGTTCTGCAATATTTTAAAAAATACAATAACTGTACAGTTATTATTGTTGCTTGATTACACTGCTAAAATGTTGGACTTTTAAATACCGGATATCGGCTGGTACCGATCCATATAAAATTGTCAAAATTGTCTTAATCGAAACAATTAACGTCGGTCTGTTCTTCTGCACTGACAGGTCCGAGATGAAAGAAAGTTATCTACGAAAAACGCAAGATTAGATACACTCCTATAAATGGAGCAGGAGTTGTAGAGTATTCCAAATTTTCGCGATCAGGGCGACATCAGGGAAGGAAAGTATCATCCAATTTGGAATCTCAATCCTTGGAGGTCCATTGTTCTTATCCTCATTCTCACGGAGCAGGAGCTGTAGAGTATTCCAAATTTTCGCGATCAGAGCGACATCAGGGAAGGAAAGTATCATCCAATTTGGAATCTCAATCCTTGGAGGTCCATTGTTCTTATCCTCATTCTCAAGGACAGGATCATCCAATTTGGAATCTCAATCCTTCGAGGTCCATTATTCTCATCCCCTTTATAGAAGTGAAATGTATATACAGGTGTCTTGTGTTGATGGAAATATTGAGTCATCTGAATGGAATATTGAGAATGGAATGTTTTATGAGCTTCATGAATATCAAAATTTTGACCCTTGTGAGGGAGGTACTTGATGGAGTGGACCGATATTGTCCATTTTCCCACCTAACCTAGCACTGATACAAATATTAGGATTTGAAAAGTTGGAACAAACTCGGTTTATCCTTCCTCTTTCTTTGCTGTAAATTATTTTCTTTGAAAATGTTGACATTTTGTGCGGGAGGTATTAGAAAGAGTGGACCGATTTAGCCCATCTCCAAACTCGATATAAGTTTGACAGTAATATTACGATGTACCAAGTTTGGACCAAATCGGATATTCACTTCGAGCGTTATCGTGTGCACAGACAGACGGACGGACGGTCATCACTACATCGACTCCAAATGTCCTGAACCGGATTTGGTCCAAAGAGTCCTAGTGTCTAATGATATATCATTCAAATGATATATACCCACTCTAGCCATATGGCTGAGGGTATAAAAACGGTGTAGCTCTTATACAGCAATCTTCCTGACCTCTGTACTCCCTTATAAAATAATTAGGCACACTTTTTGTTCCATATACATATTTAAAAGAAAACCCATATATTTATTTGCATTTATAAAAATATTTAATATAACTAAAGAGCTTAAAACTAATTATTTATAAACTAACTAAAAAATACTCATTCTGTTTTGTTCGTAGCAAATGTTTTTTATGAACAATGATGTCTCTTTGATGAAAACAAACCTGATGTTGCAATGGAATGAACATATGTTTGTATTTTTTAAAACAAAAAATGGGCAAGATGGAAGTGTTAGTAATTCTAAACAAAAAAATGCAGGTATACTATAAACAATTTATGTTTTTAAACATTTGAGTTTTGGGGATACGCACAAATAGTTACATATATAAATAAATAATTAAACTAATTAATATATGTTAACGATGACAAATCGAAAAATGAAATATTTGTAAAAATTTAAAAAAATAAACAATGTTAGGATTGAAGATGTGAATGAAGATGAAATGCGAGGGGGAGAATTGTTGTAAATTACATAAAACACAAATCCGATTAAGGAATGGAGGGGGTCTTCTGTCTCTTATTATATAGACATCATGGATTAAGAAAAAAGAAAATTATAAGGGCTTGAATACCATTATAAAAATGTATGTAAACCCTTACAATTTCCCTCAATTAAAAATAAGTTATTCTTTTTTTTATAAAAAAAATTAAAGCATAATTTAAATTAAATGAGATTTAAGTAAACAAACAAACATGGTAGAACACCGATGAACAAATATTAGGGGGGATGGATAATAACTATTGGTTTGTGGTAAAGTATTTCATTTGTATAACAGATTCATGTGGTATTGTTGATTAGGCACTTATGAGGTTACATGGAGAATTAGTCGTTGAAAAATTTCTTTTTGGCCGTTGCAGTCTCAAAGTTAATGGTGGAAAGTCTGCAAATGAAATTGAGAGGTATTGTTATATTATTGATTTTAATTTGTGTTGTTTTGAATTTACCTAGCCATTTTCGGTGTTAAATACGATGTGGAATTCAAAGTGGTTTTTGTTGTAACATATGTATCATCGGTATTATTGCTTTTGTTTGCATTTTCATTATCACTATCCGCTTCGTCATGATTGAGGGAATGTTTTGTGGGTGTGCACTTTTCGGCTTTAATTTTTACATTGTTTGCCTGCTGCGTTTCATCCATTTCATCGTCGGGATTCTCATTCAGCGGCCATATACGATTCCGACAATTCGAGGTACAACCACAATTTACCGTACATTTCTGATCGAGCGAATTACATCCGCAACGCTTGTTGCGGCAGTCACCACGGCATTGGCAGCCCTTGGACTTCCGCTTGTGCTGACCCTTGCCAGACGTTTTTGCAGCTCCTCCAAGTGTTCCTGAATGAGTGGAGTCAATGGAGATCTGTTGTTGGTCTTCATCCATATTGTGGGAGATGTCTGATTGGGAGAGGGACTTGGAGGATCTAACACCGGTCCGCCGCACGTTCTGAAATCAAGTCGTACCTTTTGTGATCACATACATATATTATTTTATTCGATTTGTTAATTTTTTGATGGGAAATGGGGGAGGGGGAGGTAGATTTGTTTGGAAGGTGGAAACAAATAGAGATTGGTGGTGGTATATGTTGCATACTTACATTTGGACGTTTTTTGCGTACCATCGGCGTCTTGGACCAATCGGGATCATCAGAACTACTTCCATCCACTTCATAATCATCACTATCTTCGATTTCTTCTATATCTTCTTCTTCCTCTACTTCTTCTACGTCTTCGATAGGCTAAAGGAGAGAAATGAAAAATATTGAGTTGGTTATTGGTTAAAATATTAGTATTTTGCGGCGAGTGCAAACTATGCCATAAAATGTGCAGATGAAATGAAATTAGCTTTAACAGAAGTGACAGGGCGGACTTTCATGTGTTTTCTGAACATAAAAATAAAATGTGAAAAAAAAATCGTCGAAATTAATTGTGATGTGAACAATGTTGATTTGTGGGTAACCAAAACCTCAATTACGTTTTTTGTTTTTTTTTTTAAGAATTTTTTATTTTATTTAAAAAAATATTTTGTCTCTTTCTATATTTTTAAGTTTCAAATATTTTGTGGAATAATGCTGGAATAATTTTTTAAGAAAAAAATATTATTAACAAAACAAGTTAACTCGTATCAGTCGGTTTTGCCGACAGATGTATAGCCTCAGCCAATGCTCGATTATTTAAATATATATATTTTTTTACTTCTGATATGATAATTTAAATGTTTAACCCTCTATGGATTATGTTCCAAAGGAGAGGGCCAATGTTGTCCATTTCGTATTGGACCTAAATAAATATGATACAAATATTAAAGGTGCCAGGTTTGGACTACATCAACTACTTCCTTCACTTTATGTGAGATATATGATAATTTTTTGAAATGTGAACATGTGCGTGAGGCACGAGATATAGTCGACGGAAGTATTCCATTTTCACACATCATCTAATACAGATAAGAATATTGGTACGGGCAAATTTACACGAAGATTGAACATTTATTATCAATTTTATGTGAAATAATAAATTACATATTCATCCCAGGTTTCTGGTTGGGAGGAATTTTTAGATATAGCACCTTGTAATTATTCTCTGACTTGTTTCGCCAGTTATGACAGATAAAAGCATTGAAAATTGCCACCCAATGTAGATGTGGTACCAGAAAGGGTACGCTGATACTTATCATCTTCACAACAGATCTTGGGTTAGCAAAAATGTTTGTATGTGTGAAATTTGAAGAGAGTTGGATGTTTAATTCGCTTTCTTTGAGCGTCTTATTTTTCAAAATCTTGAACCCTATATGGGGGAGGTACCAGAAGGGGTTCACCGATATATATCATCTTCAATGGTCCGATCTCTACCATCTTTATAACATATATTGTGTTATCGAAAATGTTGAGATGTGCGCAATTCGAAGAGAACCGGATGATTATTTGGAATTTTATGATCGTTTTTGTTATTCAAAACTTTGACCCTTTGTGTGGGAGGTCCCAGAATAAATGGTCCGATCTTTAGCGTCTTTATAACAGATCTTGTGTTGATTGAAATATTGAAATGTGCCAAGTCTAAATGGAATCGGATGTTAAATTCGCATTTTATGAGCTTCATGAATATTCAAAATGTTGGCCCTTTTGTGGAGGAGGTACCAGTAGGAGTGGACCGATATATTCCATCTTCATATCAGATCTTGAGTTAGTAGAAATAATTCAATGTGCGAAATTTGAAGAGAACTGAATGCTTATCCAGTTTTCTTTGAGCATTGTGTTTTTAAAAATCATGACCTTATGTGGGGCAAGGTACCAGAAGTAGGGCGTCTATATACCCCAGAATCACACCAGACCTTGGGCTAGTAAAAATATTGTGATGTGTGAAATATGAAGATCACCGAATGCTTATTTGGAACTTTATGCTCGTTTTGGTTATTCAAAACTTTGACCCTTTGAGTGGGAAGTACCAGAGGATGTGGCCCGATTTTTACCATCTCTATATCAGATCTTGTGTTGATGGAAATATTGAGATGTGCCAAGTCTACATGAAAACGGATGCTTATTTCGAATTCTATGATCGTTTTGCTTATTCAAAATGTTGACCGTTTGTGTGAGAGGTACCAGAAGGAATGGTCCGATCTCTACCATCTTTATAGCAGATCTTGTGTTGATGGAAATATTGAGATGTGCGAAATCTGAATGGAAACTGATGTTAATTTCGTGTTATATAAGCTTCATGAATATTTTAAATTTTGACCCTTTGTTGGGGATGTACCGGAAGAAGTGGATCGACATATTCCATCTTCACACCAGACCTTGGGCTAATAAAAATATTGTGATGTGTGTAATTTGAAGACAATCGGACATTTACATCCCATTCTATAAGAGTTGTAATTATTCAAAAAGTTCACCTTTTGTGGGGCACCGATATTGTCAATTTTTGCACCTGACCTAGCACTGATGCAAATATTAGGATTTGCAAAGTTGGAGCAAAATGGGATCATCCTTTCTCTTTCTGTGCAGTAAATTATTTTCTTTGAAAATGTTGACATTTTGTGGGGGAGGTACTAGAAGGATACTCCCTTTGAGAGTTACCGTTCTCATCAACCAGACAGACAGACGGACGGAGGGACATCGCTAGATCGACTCCAAATGTTATGAAACGGTTTTGGTCCAAAGGGTCCAAAACACTTATTTCGATGAGGCACGTTTGGCCGTATCATATGATATATACCCTCTGTGGCCATATGGCTGAGGGTATACAAATAAAAATCCGATACGTTTGGCCAGGTAAAATAACATATTGCTAATTCGTATTAAAACTCAGAAAAAGATTTAAAGTAGTCAGTCAATCAACTAGTAAACCCTAAACCCACATTTATATTTGCGTTTTCTTCATATTTCTACGTTTGAATTTCAGTCTCCATAACATTGTATTTTTAAAAATATATTTTTTTGTTCCCCAAAAAGGGTTTTAATCAAGTTGTTTCAACTTCTAAGATACCGCATAATAATAATGGAAGTACTCAAGAAAAGCTGCATTAAAATACATACATAAGTTTATTAACACCTGGCATAAGAAGTTTTCACGCCCTCGTATGTTGACGTTTAAAAATTAGTAAACAGAATTAGCGATTGTCAATTAATCTACAATATTGGCCTGATAACACTATTTCAAACACCCAAACCTATTTATCGATGGGGAAACACACAAGAAATACAAAAAATGCTATGTAAGCTTATGTGCTATTCATCACGTTTCTTGTTTGAAAGTCACTACCAAATGGTCTTTTTCTTCTACCTTTAATAATTAACTTAATAGATAGATAAGAAGTTTTTGCATAAAACTTAATATTCTTTTCAGTTTTTTGATTCACTTGACTAATGAAAATATACTGCGTCAATCAAGTCAATTGCATAAGTTATTTAAAGTACAATAAACCCAACTGTCTGTCTTCCTAATCTATTTTTTTTCATTATTTATTTTAAAAGGTGGGTACAACAATTGTTATCACATATATTTTTGTTTACAATACAGCTTTTTTATCAAAAAAAAAAAAAAATAAATAAAATAATAATAAAAAAAACTAAGTCTGTCGAGTATTTGTTTTTTATCAATACTTTTAACGTATATTCAATACGTTTTGCGAATTTCTGAATGGCGTTCTTGGTAAAATAGATTTCAATAGCTTACATTACCAGGAAATAAAAAAGTGATATATGAAAACAAATCTTGATAGATGGAAGAAAAGTTGTATAGAAAAAAGACTGCATTGCGAAAAATTAAGGAATTTTATGATATTAAGAAGGAGTTAAGTAGAAAAAAGTAAAAAAAGCAGCAAGCCAGGCCGAACTTTGAATACCCCCACTATTTGGAACGAATTTGGAAATTTGATAAAATCTTAAAAATACCGAATATAGCCGTTTTACATATGAACCGTGGACCTACATAGTCATTATCATATTCAACTACGAAACTTGAAAAAAAGATGAATAATGTAGCTAAAATCATTAAAATACCATATGTAGGGAGGTACCGTTATATCAGAGCTATACGAAGACGTGCACCTGCATAGACAATTTTCTGTCACAGGCTGTAATATCCATTATGAACTTAAAATACGACATCTCAAACGATTTCGGTGAGTATTGTACCTAAAATCGTCAAAATACCTAATATAGGGAGGTACTGATATAGTACCCATTACGGATTCTTGAAATCGTCAAAATACCGAATATCGGGGGGTACTGTTGTACGAGTATGTGGGCTATACGATATCGTGGACCTATATATACATTTCTCTTCCAAGGGTGTAAAGTGCTTAGAAAGAACTTCTAGTATGGATTTGAAAAGCTAGTAAAGGAATGGATTTTTAAAGACCAAATGAGCATTAAATTTATTTTAGGAAATATTCAGCAGCAAACCCAGTTGTAAAATCTAATTGCTAGTTAAGTGTGGAGGGTCATTGAAATCTTATTTTAACCTTAAGTTTTTACAGTTTTAACTTAAAAAGCAAAGTTATGGGACGAGGAAAGTGTTAATGTCCTCTATTCTATAGGAATCAAACCAGCAGTCATACTCGTGGCGTGGGTGACTCGCCGGCCTTACCCATTTTTTGCTTATGTTATCTGGTCTGGAGTATGGTGCTTGGGAACTAAATACTTGGGTCCAAAATTAACAACCTTAACCGCACTTATTGGGTATGAAGATATCTTACATACCACTGTGATTTAGGTGAACCTAGCACAAACGAATTTAATTAGTTAAAAAAGAAGTGTTACTTTCTCAACTTTTCTTGAAACAGTCCACCTAGTGAGAGAGGGCCTTGAGAGAGAAATTTTGCTCCCTATATATCAGCAACATCCGAGTTGCAGGCAAGTCATTTTCTTTATGGCACAAATCTAAAATACAACGACTACACTTTGATAAGGAGGGTATATTAACTTTGTCATTCCGTTCGTAACATCCCTTAATATTCGACATAGACCCCTAAAGTATATATTCATAATCAGCATAAAATTCTAAGTCGGTTTAAAAATGACGATACAGCCCACTTTATTTGATGTAGAGCTTCAAAATTTGGAAGAACAATTTGTATTGTGTCTAGAATGGTTGGTATTGAAAATGAGATATATCGGTCCACCTTTTGAAATAGAAAAAATGAATAGATATATACTCTTTTCGAACTTGCCCTAACAACATTAGTATGTGCGAAGGAAAATCGGACAATGATACGAGAGTCGATATTATTTAAAATGTTGACTATTTGGTGGGGAGGATCCTAGGATGTACGAAAGAAAATCGTACACTGATTCCAAATGATGCGCGAGAGTTGTTAATTTAAAATATTTGTAGTGAAGGTTCAAAAGGATTCGGCCTATTTTGTTTATTTCCGCACCTGAGCTAAGTCATATCTAAATGCCTTCGCTCAGTAAAAGATGTGCTTTTTTGACCAAGTTGCACCAAGTTCGGATCAAATCTAACACTCACTTCGAGAGTCATGAAGATGTCTTTTTTTCAAAACAGATGTTGGGCGTATAAAATGATGTATATCCCCCCTTTGTAGCCATAAGGCTGAGGGTATTATGAGATAAACGATTTAGCACGTTCCAAATGTGCCGGTTTAATTTAATTTTTGTCACAGCTTGACATTAGAAATACAATACAGTTTTCCGATTTGCCACCATAGTCTAGTCTATTTTAAGTAAAATATGTGCAAAAAATAAAGCTTAAACATCGAACAAATATATTCAGAATTTTTTCTCTGATAAAAAGAAATTAATTTAGATTTTAACATGTACAATAGATATTTTATTTAAATAAAAATACATAAAAATACAAAAACGATTTTAGCCCATTTTTTTAAACAATTCCTTTACATAGGCTAGTTATTTCATACAAATATATATATTAAATGTTAATAATTTTGCCTATATTATTATTTTATTCCCCAATATTATTGTTGCATTTCTGGGATGGCAATCAAAATCGCAAATACAAACAAAATCGCAATCTCCAAAATTGGAAAGTAAAGTAATGATTGATTAAAGTTATCTATTTTCGTTTTGATTTCCATCACAGCCAAAAATCCACAATTAGAAAAACAATTATACAACAAATGTGTTTATATGACCCAGCCAGCTTAATGACGCCCTCAACTTTTTTCATGAAAATGCGAATGAATGAAAAAAAACGCTTTTGATGTTTGACAGATGATAAAATGCATTAAAAAAGCAAAAAATAACAAATTTTTTGGTTAATTATAGTGTATCAAAAACAATAAACAGCACTCATGAAACATTGTTTTTGTTTTTTTTTTCGTACAAAAAATACTCACATCTTTTTCTATTCACCGCATGATGTCGGAGAATTTTGTAAAAACTGATAAAAGCTATGGAAGATAACAACAAGTCCAGATAGTATTGGAGGGGATAGAGTAGTGGGAGTAAAGTGCAATAGGGAAAAAGAGGAGAAGAAGAAGAAAAACGGAAGGTAATTGCAAAAGAATATAAAGAAAAGAAGAACATAAGAGAATTCTACATTAGTTTGGATATTTTCGATATTTGTTTTTATCTATTTTTGTTTTATCTATTAAAGAATATATTTTTGTTTTATCTTTTATTTCAGAGATATATACTACCTAGGCACTTACTAACATTCAAAAATAGACACATATAAACAATAATATTTACCTTGGCAGAAGATTTGACTTTCTTTTTGGCCGGCACCGGCGCATGATTCATTTCGGCACGCAGTTGTTTGTAATTTTCCAGTTCAATCATTAGAGATTCAATTTTCTTTTGTTGTTCCTCTTGGAGTTTAAGACGTTGTTCTTGTTCGGGCGTTAAGGCCACTGAAATCTTTTCTTCATATTCGGCAATGGCTTCTTCGTGTTCAAGCTTCATTTGTTTTATAATCTTTTGGGCCTCGTTGCAACGATCATCGGCGGCATGCAGTTGCGAGCGCAAATCTTCCAGGGCCAGGGCATGTTCACGTCTCAGCTCGACCATGGACTTGAGCAAATGCTTGAACACGGCCCGAGCCTCAGTCAAGCTTTGGGCACTGTCCGCCAGCGTTTGTATGAGTTTGTCGACATCATTAGCGCATACCTTCTGCTGGAGGTCGGAGATTTGGGCGTTTCGCATATCCAATTCCTCCTGCAAATTGGCAATTTCCAAAGCGGCCTGAGAGTGGGGCTCGGGGGGAGGTTGTTGTTTTTGCAACTCTCCCAAACGACTGCTAATTATGCCACGATCATCCATTAATTGTTCAAGTGTACGTTCAGCATCAATAAGGGATATAATTACCTCGAGTTCGCGCTCAACGCAAGCTATGACCTGGTCAATCTTCACGGAAGCAGCGTTGGCGTCTTTAGCGTATTGTAATTTTTGTCTTTGTGTCTGGGCCACCTTTTGTCTTTCGAGAGCATCTTTGAGTCTACAGAGAGGGGAGAAGAGAGATGGGGAAAATGGACAGTCAGTCATCATCACATGGATACTAGAAAGAAATACAAATACAATGTAAAAGGGATTGGAATTGAAACTCACCTCTTATTTATGGCCATTGCTTCTTCACATTTCCGCTTCAAGACATTACGCTGTTTGTTGTGCAGAGCTTCCTTGCGGGCCATTTCGTTTTGCATTTTACGATCTTTATTTCGCAGCTGCATCAATTCCTTTTCACGCATCATTTTGAATTGTCTAAAGTTTTCGGCCTCTTGGCGCATGGCCCGTATGAGCTTAACTTTTGATTCTTTCATAGCTTGAATTTCGGAACTGAGGTTTTTAATCTTTTGGGTTTCTTTTTCACGTATCTTCAACAGCTTAGCCTGTTGTAGATTTTTGCGTTTCATTTCACCAATTTCATGTTCAAGGGCCTGCAGACGTTTGCGTCTTTCTTCGGCCAATTTGGCGGAGGCATTCTCTTTAACATGTTTCAGCTTATCCAACAGCTCAGCCTTTTCATTTTCCAATTCGGCAATTTTATGTTCACATTCCTTGACTTTTTCCTCAATGTCATCATCCAGTGTGGAAAATTTACTAAAGTTACCAGCCATTCGCTGTTGCAGCTGTTCTTTGAGGCTAAGCTCGCGATTGATGCGTCTTAGCTGTTCATTGATTTCCATTTGTTTATTTGTAAACGCCTCCGTACGTTCTTGTACCAGGGCATGCATTTCAGAGGATGAGGCCAATGAGCCATCAGCATCCTCATTATCACCATCCATATCACCATTAACCGATTCCCCAATGGAAGAACGTTTCTTGTGATCCATTATTTCGGTTTGTGTCTTGACCAATTCCTCATCCAAACTCTCCACCATTTTGCTTATGCACATCACCGTTTCCATTAGCTTCTCCTCATCCATGGAATGATCTTTACATTTAATTGACACTTCATGGAAGTATGATTTCATTTCATCTGTTTTGGCCTTTAGATTGTCATGGGCAGCCTCGGCAATATGAGCCCGCATTTCATGCTCTGTCACATCGTGCAGGGTCATTTGCCATTGTTGTTGCAGTGTGCGATATTTATCTTGTAGTTCTTTATATTTTCTATTCTGCTCTTCCGACGGCATAATTGTGGGCATTGATGCAGCCATCAGGGGGACAACGGGTGGTGTTACGCTTTCCAGCTCAGTGGTCAATGAACTGGTCATTGTACCGCCCTTGGTAAGCAATTCCAGTCGAAGTTTTTGAATAATACCTTTAAGGCGATTAATTTCAGCAGCATGTGGATCTTGATTAACAATCGGTTTATTTTTGATTTTACGCGCCCGATCGGCATATCGTAAGGTACTTAGAGTTTCGGCAACATTGTAATCAGCCGGCGAGACACAGGCAATCATAAGGGTAACGGAATTTCCACCGAGAGAATCTTGCAGCAGGCGGGTTAATTTCGAATCACGATAGCGTACAAAACCAGCACCTTTGCCATCTATGCGGCGGGAATAAGATTGGAGGAGAGGGAGGAGAAAAAATGCATAAGTAATTTAAAATATTTAGAATTTGTAAAATTCATGGATTTTGGAAGTATGTATTTTTCAAAGAATTATAGCCGCATATTTTTAAAATGGACATTTTTTAAGGTTTCAGAAAAAAGTTAGATTTTCAAAAATATTAAGCTATATGGCTACAGATGGAATATAACATTTGATACGGCCAAAAATCTGACTCATCGAAATAGCGGATTTAAACCCCAGGTCTCTCTCTTTGGATCAAATCCGTTTCAGGACATATGGAGTCGTCCTTCTGTCTGTCTGATGGTTGGTGCGGACGATAACTCTCGAAAGGAGTATCTGATTTGGTCCAAACTTGGTACATCGTAATAATATTACGGTACATCGTAATAATATTACATTGGAAAAACGTGAAGAAGATACACGCGCTTGTAAACGATCCGTAATAAACAAATAAAAAACACACTTACAAAGCTTCGATAAGCAGAAAATTTTGGACAACAAAGAGACGGAGAAAGCGGCAATCGATTAAATTTGAAGTGTAGTCAAATGTTGGTGACGTATTCACTTTTTAAATAATTTATTTTCACACTTTTTATAAAATCCATTGGAAATACAAAACACTCAATTTGTTTGAACACTAACAACGCCAGCTGATCTCTTTCTATCCAAATACTGGTTGGATGCCACAGTTGTTTATAATTTCAACTAGAATTGACAGCTGACAAATCATATTATACGGCGTTGCCAACCACCATATACACCAGTATTTAAAAAACATTGCCAATATAAACATTTTTTTGTATAAGGTCTGTTCACGATGTCACAAACACCAATATCATCGAAACAAACTCTTGCATTTCAATCTGCAAAGAGAACCTTGACTGAAACTTCTCCCGATGAAATGCCAGGCTCGTCGAAAAAACTGGTGGGAAATATACAGGTTTCAGATTTAATGAATATGATGCAAAAGTCAATGGAAGGTATTATGGATGAAAAACTCAAAAATCTAGCTACAAAGAGCGATTTTGAGGATATTAAAACTAACGTCGCAGAAATCGATAAGAAATGTGAAGATCTGAAAAATGAAAATGAAATATTACGATCTGAAATCAACAAGCTAAAAGCAGAACGCGAAAGAGACAATGAAAATTTAAGACGTCTAGTTGACCAGAGTAAACGCAAAAATGTTATATTCAAAGGCATTAAGAAACAAGGCTCACCGAAAAATTCTGTTGAAAATGTCTGTATAAACGTTTTGAAACTTAATGATTTGAAAATTAAAATGGCAAGAACTTTATATTCAAACAATGGAAAAATTGGAGTTGTAGCTGAAATGCAGACGGAGGAAATGGTACATAAAATATTTAAAAATACCAAAAATTTAACAGGGTCTACCATAATAATAGAGAGAGATTTGAGCGAAGAAAGACAACAAGATCGCAAAGTTCTCTTGCAAATAAAATCAGCCATACTTCAGACTGATAAAACGCATAAAATATTTGTTAGAAATGATTCCCTCAAAATTGGAAATAAATGGCTACATTTTTCAAAAAACCACGAACTGATGTCGGGAAGTAATAAAGCCGAAACGGTACTCAAAGAACTCTATGGTAATAAACTAGCGGATTTAAATATAGATTATATGCATTTACTAAAAAATGTCATCCAAAAAAACTAATTGAACGAAATATATGTAAAATCAAACCCATCACAGAAGAACATAATCTAAAAATAATTTCGTACAACATTCATGGACTTGAAAATAAAACATTATATCCAGATTTTTTCAAATATCTAGCCGATTTTGATATTATTGCCCTTTGTGAGACACATATCTGTCAAGATAAAATAGTTTTTTTTAAAAAGTACTTTGGTGACTTTTGTACGACTTGGTATCCGGCAACAAGAAATAGCAGATTTGGAAGAGGAATAGGAGGTAGTGTTGTTGGGGTAAAAAAAACTTTAAAAAATATTGGTTTAAAATACAGCTTTGAATGCAGATTTGGCATAAATTACGTCAAATTCAAAATCAACCAAAATAGTTTTCATCTAATACCACTATATATGAGGTCAGCAACCTGGAATGAAGATTTTCAAAAATTGGACTTATTCCTGAAGGAGAATTATATAGAAAATCCAATAGTAATTGGTGACTTAAATATAAGAATTGGCAATATGCAGATCGAAATTGAGGAAGACCAAAAATCAACTTTTTATGCGGGTTTGGAGGAAAGAAAATCCAAGGATGTCGAAATAAATACCAGAGGAAAGAATTTCATCGACTTTTGCTATGATCATGGTTTGCTGATAACAAATGGCATGACTAAAGGGGATGAATGTGGAGATTTTACATTTGTGAGCACAGTTGGAGCGTCAGTGAATGACATATGCGCAGTCTCCCATAATCTTCTTTCAAACGTTGATGAATTTCGAATCGAAAATAAAACCTGGTCTGACCATATGCCAATAATATTATCATTAAATATCAAACTACAAAACGAAAAAGAAACCTTAAATACACTTCTGCCAAAGCTAAAGTGGAATGCAAATAAAGCATCAGATTATCAGAATAAAGTATTGGAACTCATCGAAATAAGTGGTAATCAAGGTACTTTTACCTTTTCAGATGTAACGAATCTTATTAAAGATGCATCAAAAATCTTCTTCAAAAAAACACCTAATTTTGCGAAAAATGAAAAATGGTTCAATACAAGATGCTACAATGCTAGAAAAACTTCCATGAAGAAACTTAACAGATTCCGGAAAGACTCTACAATAGAGAACAAACGCAAATACCTAGAAAGTAATCGTATATATAAAGATGCATGCCGATTGGCTAAACTGCAATATTTCAGCAGTTTAGAAAGAAAACTTGATAATGTCAAAGATAGCAAAGATTGGTGGAAAATAGCTAAGGAAATCCGAAATGATACAAATAATCAAAGAGGAATATTCGTCGAACCAAACGACTTCAAACGGCATTTTGAAAAATTGCTCAACCCACCGCAAACATCACCAGATATCCAGTACGCTCCAAACTTTTTCATAGATGATGATTTGGACAAGCCTATTTCAATGACAGAGCTAAAGAACGTCTTAAGAAAATGTAAAGTAAATAAAGCTCCAGGAGAAGATCGTATTCCATACGAGTTCTACAAAAATGCTCCAGAACAATTGCTACAGGAAATCGTAAATTCATGCAACAAAGTTTTCAACTCTGGAAACGTTGACTCGACATTTTCTACCAGCATAATCTACCCTATATTTAAAAAGGGAGACACTACACAAGCTCAGAACTATCGAGGGATCTCTTTTATGAACTGCTTGCCAAAAATTATGATGGGAATTATTACGGAAAGGTTGTACAATTGGGCGGAAAAACACAAAAAGATCAATGAATATCAGTCCGGTTTTAGAAAATACTACTCGACGAATGATAATATATTCAGTCTCACTTCGATGGTCCATATCAACTGGCATGAAGATAAGAAAACATATGCGTTCTTCGTAGATTTTAAAGCGGCATTCGACAATGTTTGCAGAAAATCTATGCTATATAAATTAAATATCCTTGGTGTGTCAACAAAGGTAATAAGATTTATAGAAAATGTATATAATGATACAAACTTTATGGTATGGACAGGACATGATCTCTCCGATAAATTTTCGACGTCAGCAGGAGTAAAACAAGGATGTTTACTGTCCCCATTGCTATTTGCCCTATACCTAGACGATTTACATGAGTTCATCGGCGGCGGTATCGAGATTGATGACCTAAATATAAGAATTTTGCTTTATGCAGATGATATAGTAATCCTGGCAAATGACGTGAAGGTACTACAAAAAATGATAGATAAATTAGAAGAGTATTGTAGTATATGGAATGTTACTGTCAACTTGGAAAAGTCAAAAATAATGGTATTAAGAAAAGGTGGAAAAATCTCGCAAAATGAAAAATGGCTCTACAAAAATGAACCAATTACAATTACTTCGGAATTTACCTATCTTGGGATGTTACTAACACCAAAGCTCTCTTTCAAAAACCACATTTTGGCAAGAAATAACTCATCCAAAAACTGTATAAACTCTACATGGAAATCCTTTTTGAATAAGCCCGATGTATCAATTACGTCAAAATGGAAACTGTTCTCAGCAGTTTGCAGATCAATCCAACAATATGGCGCGCAAATATGGGGATATACAAATTTTGAGGACGTAGACAAATTAGAAATTTACTTCTGGAAGAAAATATTAAAACTCCCAAATTTCACACCAACATACATATTAAGATTAGAAACCGACATGGAACATAGCCATATCCTCTCCTTGAAAACCCATTTGGATTATATCATTCGAGCCATATTTGATTACAATAGCGACCGATTACCTCACAAACTGGCGAAAATAGTTCTGCAAAAAGACATTTACTGGGCAAAGCATATTCGTGCACTCTTAATGCAAAACAATATCGAACCATTTAATTTAAATAGTACCAAAAGCGAAGTTGTGGAAAAAAAAGATCACCTCCTAAAGACATTAGATTACAAATATTGGTGCGATGCCATAAATAGAGCCAATCAAACGACCCGAATTTACTCGAAGCTAGACCCATCAGTAGGTCAAACTTACATCAACTCGCTGTTAACGTCAGAGGAGAAAATGTGGATATTCAAAGCCAGAAGCGATATTATCAAACTTAATCTCAATAATATAGATGCAAATAGGAACCCACTCTGCTCCTTATGCAACTTGATGGAAGCTGAAAATCTTCAACATTTTCTTTGTAACTGCCCCATATTTAAAGAATTTAGAATTATGTTCTTCAAAAAGACACTGCTTAAGGAAGATGACCTTATAAATATTTTAAATGGATATATTGTAAATTGGAAATATGTCGCAAGTTTTATAAAAATTTGTACACAATATAGAAATCAGCTATTATCTGAATTTAACTTTTAAATCCCAATTTGTATTT